ATCTTTGGAGTAGGTTAATCTAGTTTTGGGTTTAGTTTATTGGATCGCCACCGAAAATTCCACGAACGGGGGAGTTTGAAAAATTCGTAGATAACCGACCGATTTTCGGCGGTCGATCACCTGGCGAGGTTGATGCCCTGATGACGTCACGATATCGAGTCAAAGCAAGACAGCAATAATATGTCATCGGCTACCTCGTGTGAATCCAAACACTCGCCTGGATGTGCGCATGCGTTTGAAATCGGTTCCGCTCCCGCTGGCGAGAGGCAGCAAAAAACTGAAGCCGGCAACTGTCGCGTCATAAGAGCTATCTAAAAATAATTAGTCGACCGTGACCTAAAACCGCTCTGATTTCGTATTGTTCCGTTACGGATGGAACAAGGCAATGTGCGCGTTCGAGAACTCATTTTCACAAATGTCTGACGCGTTTTTGCAATTTCCCCGCCCCTCGCGTAAGAAAAAAACTATGAAATCTCATTGAAAACGTTGAGAACGAGTTCTAAATGCAGTCCATTTATCAAGCTGAACTTAAATGGCGAGCGAATGAGCGGCGTTTTGTAAATTGTGTGATAAGTGATATAAATAAAAACACGATGTGGTACATTTTGTGTAACATTGGTACGTTGTTGTAAATAATAAATAGATCGTATGTTGTATGGCGCTTAATCAATTATTTCCACCACCGCAATCACATTTTCGTTTGAATTGATCATAAAAAGGGAACGTGTTTAATGACTTTACAAAAATATACGCAAAAGAGAATTTAATAGAATTTGTAATGATGGCGGTTTAGGATGTCACATCCTACCGTACCGACGAGCCGAACAATACATCGGTACATATTCCCGATAGACCAGCACGTCTAAAAAAGCGAGGTCTTAGCCGGCACGAAAATTACTCGACGCCTCTTACACCTGAACACCACATGACCTAAGATAATAAACAGACCTTCGACAAGCAATATAACAGATGTAAGAACAAATTCTCCACTTTCACACCACCACCAAACACACCCCAAACGCACCGAAAAAACCAATCACCACACACTTCCACCACCTACGACAGTTTTCATACCACCAATCACAACATACACGTAGTTTATAAAATAGCGAACACCACACGACACCACACACAATTTTCCGATCAGTAAGGTTAGGCATTTCGCGCTCTGTTCACGTTCATTCACAAATACATAGTTTTAACAGCAAACTGTTGTGCGTTAATAGTCTATCTTCCGAGCACTACCTGAGTCCCCTATCCCGAGTAGATTCCTTAAATGGTCTGACTCAAAAAGAGGGACCATTATCGGTTTCGCAACAAGCACATCGCGATTCGTAACAAGGACAAGGAATACATATTTAGATTAGTAATATACTGACCAGAAAGTCGTCAGATTTTTGAAGATTTATTTGTAGAAATAGTACATGGATACTGACTTTGGAACTTGTACTAAAGGACACTTATGAAACAAACTTTTAAACGAATTACACACTTACATTAAACGATAAAATACTAATGTAGTACAGTACTGTCGCGTTAGCTGACCGGGACTTCGCTTTGCTAACTGGCCGTCGCTATCCCCACCAGTTCTGTACTTTTAGGCCCGATACACACTAGCGGTCCGCTCCCGGTCCGGTCACTGTCCAATCCCGCTTTGCTCTCGAAATATAAATTAGTTTATACATATACGTTTGGCTAAAAATCCGCTTTTTCGCCATTTTCAACATGATATCATTTGTTAATAACCTTGAAGCCAACAAAATGACGACATAAACTCATCATCATTTCACATAGACTACAACATAATATTTTTGTCAGATTTTTAAAAACGAGTGTAAGGGTTCGTTTCTGCGAAACAAAAATTTATTTACAATTTTTATATTGAAAAGGAGTGCGTACAACAAAATTAAAAATATTTTTAGAAAGTTCTATCTTTTGCGATGCGAATGAAAGAAAAAAATAGACTATAATATATTAAGTTTCATCAAAATCGAAATTGAAATGAAATAACCGGTGATAAAATATTCTTTCCAAAGATAATTGCTGGGACGAAACCGGACCGTGATCGGATCGTGACCAGAGCATTACCCGTAGTGTGAATGGGTACGTTCTAAACCATAGAAGAATATTTGACCGGACTGGGAGCGGACAGCTAGTGTGTATCGGGCCTTATCCTATCTATTTGAACGAATAACTAATATGAACGCCAGAGGTCCTCCCGATTCGTTTGAAAGTTGTTTATATCTTTTCACACCCCGAAAACCATATTTTTATTCTTATTACATACAAAATATAGTCAACGATACAATCATGTGAATATTTGCTGTTAAAGCAGTTTAAAATTATTATGTACATATAATTTCATTCATGATAGAATAATTTTTTTTAACTAATCAGGGATATCACGTGGGAAAATCTTTTTATAATTTTCTATATCAAAATAGTTACGATCAGTAAGCTTAGGCATTTCGCGCTCTGTTCACGTTCATTCACAAATACATAGTTTTAACAGCAAACTGTTGTGCGTTAATAGTCTATCTTCCGAGCACTACCTGAGTCCCCTATCCCGAGTAGATTCCTTAAATGGTCTGACTCAAAAAGAGGGACCATTATCGGTTTCGCAACAAGCACATCGCGATTCGTAACAAGGACAAGGAATACATATTTAGATTAGTAATATACTGACCAGAAAGTCGTCAGATTTTTGAAGATTTATTTGTAGAAATAGTACATGGATACTGACTTTGGAACTTGTACTAAAGGACACTTATGAAACAAACTTTTAAACGAATTACACACTTACATTAAACGATAAAATACTAATGTAGTACAGTACTGTCGCGTTAGCTGACCGGGACTTCGCTTTGCTAACTGGCCGTCGCTATCCCCACCAGTTCTGTACTTTTAGGCCCGATACACACTAGCGGTCCGCTCCCGGTCCGGTCACTGTCCAATCCCGCTTTGCTCTCGAAATATAAATTAGTTTATACATATACGTTTGGCTAAAAATCCGCTTTTTCGCCATTTTCAACATGATATCATTTGTTAATAACCTTGAAGCCAACAAAATGACGACATAAACTCATCATCATTTCACATAGACTACAACATAATATTTTTGTCAGATTTTTAAAAACGAGTGTAAGGGTTCGTTTCTGCGAAACAAAAATTTATTTACAATTTTTATATTGAAAAGGAGTGCGTACAACAAAATTAAAAATATTTTTAGAAAGTTCTATCTTTTGCGATGCGAATGAAAGAAAAAAATAGACTATAATATATTAAGTTTCATCCAAATCGAAATTGAAATGAAATAACCGGTGATAAAATATTCTTTCCAAAGATAATTGCTGGGACGAAACCGGACCGTGATCGGATCGTGACCAGAGCATTACCCGTAGTGTGAATGGGTACGTTCTAAACCATAGAAGAATATTTGACCGGACTGGGAGCGGACAGCTAGTGTGTATCGGGCCTTATCCTATCTATTTGAACGAATAACTAATATGAACGCCAGAGGTCCTCCCGATTCGTTTGAAAGTTGTTTATATCTTTTCACACCCCGAAAACCATATTTTTATTCTTATTACATACAAAATATAGTCAACGATACAATCATGTGAATATTTGCTGTTAAAGCAGTTTAAAATTATTATGTACATATAATTTCATTCATGATAGAATAATTTTTTTTAACTAATCAGGGATATCACGTGGGAAAATCTTTTTATAATTTTCTATATCAAAATAGTTAATATTGAAAAATTTTCCAGTACTTGATCAAGTTACGAAGTTTCACTATTTACATTAAATTTTATAACAATATGAATATGTATAAACTTCTAAAATCCATATTATGATACCATATGAAATATGATAAATTTATAGTAGTTTCACAGACGAGATGTAGGATAGACTTTGCACCTAATGTATTCTTGTGTTCTGAAATACCGATAGTGTAAAAAAGCAGAGTTTTTTGTTATGCCCTCTACGAAATAAAGCGGTGAGTTTAGGAATTACAAACAATCTAACCATCAAAGATGATAAAATCGACAGATGTAAAAAATCCTCTTTTATTCAATTTGCATATAAAGATACATACATATATTAGATTACGTGGGTAGAATTGTTCACGATCTTCTGACAGCAGTAAAACACGCGCATGTGATGAATCATCTACTTATAAACAATTATGTTACTTTCTTATTTGAAATTTCATAGTTACGTTTAATTCTAATTCCAACCACTATTAATGTTGTAACCTTATTCTGTGTATACTGAACCGATAACGTTGATAGCGTCACGGAAATGGTAAGGATTTTCTCGGCCCTAAAGCCCTGGAAAAAAAGTTCCATAAAATGTAAGGTCTATCCTGTACGTCGTCTGTGGCAGTATTTCTTCAATAATCTCAAATAATAAAAAGGTTGAACCTGTAACTTATTTAATTTAAATGAAAACATGTTTAATTATAAACTCTACTGTACATTTTATTCTACATATCTAATCACGAATTTTATATCTTGTAGTACTGTTGGGATCTGAGAAGATATCAGTCGTGACGTCACAGGGGCAGGAGGAGTTCCACTTTTGACTCTCTCGAAGTCCCCAAACACGGCACACGCTGGCATAGTAGTAGGATTCTAATATCCGAGAGAAATACGGAAATTCTACTAATACGATTATTTCTACTTATATTTCATGAAATTGAACATATCCTTAATATGTACAAGCATGAAAAGATAAAAGTACTGTAAACTGACGTAAAATTAGTAAGTTTTTGATAGGTTTTGCCGTGTAATTAAAAAATAAAGATCTGTGTCTACAACAATGCTTCTCACTCAGTTCCAATGCGTCTTGATCGCTTTCTTTGTTACGCGTTGCCCACAAGCGTCAACTAGTGATATGACCATTCAGCCAATTAGGGAAGTGCATGCGGGTCATCTTTATGTGCCTAACCGCGAAAGTTGACCTTCTGCACTAAGGCCAATCAGAGCCGACTGCCATCTTTCTAGCTCCCTAGCAGTACTTTCTTATCGATAAGCAAATGTACGTCGTAAAAAATCCAATTAAAACAAGCATTTCATACTTAAAGTTTTAGTGCAATTAATAGATATTTATCGCTCATAAAACATTATAGACATGACTTCTGCTAAAGATGATGAAGACTTTTGGTACAGTAGTGAAAAACGATCGTTCTGTTTCGAAAACAATGAGGTTAAGTTAACAAAATTAACGTTAATTTAATAATAATTCCACTTTGCATTAGTTTTTCCGTTTCTTTTTTTAAATTTGAAGTGTTAACTGTATTAAATAATAATATAGGTGGATCAATTGTTTGGAGTATCAAAGACTGATACAGATAAGCTATGGGCTGGTATTTCAAACACATCTACATCAGAAGGCCCTTTAAAAACCACCAATGATTATCAGCCACTTAAACCTATGTTATCTATTATCTCGGAAAAAACACTTTCTTGCAGTATGTCAGTAAAGTCATATATAAATCAAGATACCCAATGCAGTAGCTTTAATTTTTATAATTACTAATGTTTAACAGCACCATCAAAAGTATGTTTGTGCATAAAAATGTTTTATATTCCATAGTTTTGGCAACAGATAAATTACAAAATCTCCATTCAGAAACAAGTATTTCACAACCAGACGTAACTCTCAGAAAAATCTTACTTGGCCAACCATATTCTTTGGATCAATACAAATCACTTGCCAGCAAAACTGCCTTATTAGATTCAGCAATAATAAGTGGAGATGGAAATACAATTTTAATAGTAATTTTTGTATAATTACAATTTTCAAAGTATTCTTTTCAAATTATTTTCACATATACTAAAAGAAAATGTTTTAGATTATCCTATTCCTTACAAAAACTCTTAAGAGAACTTTAGTCCAAAGAATATTAGCGGAAAGACCAGATGCAGTCAATATGTACATAAGATATCTTTCTATAAGATTACAGTTAAATGATATTACTGATATTTTAACGTATGTATTACTATACACTTATTACCTGCATACCTTTTTCCTTCTAATTAATTTAACTCTTTTACAGAATGCTAGGGCAATCAAAGGATGCTGCAGTAAGTTTACATATAAGATTTTTAATTTTTCACTAAAACTATTCTACTTGTTGTGTTTTAGATGAAAACTTTGCACATTATTATAAAGAATACTCGAGATCCCAATAGACTGTTAAACAAACTTCAAAATATTTATGAAACACAATTCTTAAATTTAGCTGATTGCAAAGAGACTTCATTTGTTCAATCTTATATCAAATTACTTGGTAATCTATTCTTTCTGAGTCTTAAAATACTTAAAAAAGCTATAATGTAATCATATATTAAATGAAAATATATTAATATATTATCAGAGTGGCAAATAACAGTAAAAAAAATGGATGGAAATGAAGACATTGAACTGAATTCGTCTGTCCTTAACTGTCTAAGACATATGTGTAAAGGGCCAGAGAGACGTTTAATGTCTACAATCTTATCTCAACAGCATGATGTGTCTCCTAGACAATATCAAAAGGTTGCATTAGAAGTTAGAGCTGCAGCCAGTGAATGGGATGATGTTGATCAACTACTTCTAACAAAGGTGACACTAATGAATAGCACATTTTACATTGAAGTTCAATCAGAGAAATAATTTATATTAATTTATATTAGGGGTGGTTAGGGAGCAAAAAGTTACAAATTCATCTACCTATTGAAGATGTACTAAAAATATTGCACAAAAATAGTGCACCTTCTGAGATACTTGAAAAATATTTAAAATTTGTTGATAATATCGAAAGACGATTGGAATTAGCGAAAACTATGCATTGTTTTAGAGTAGCGATCGATGTAAGTGAACATATGCTTAAATTTTTGCAACGGATTGAACTCGTATATTAATATTGCATTTTGTTGTAGATACTTGTTCAACAAGCAGATCGTATTGCGTTAATAGAATATAAAAGTAAATTACAACCTCAATCAGAAGAATATTTCTATGCGGAAAGCGCGCTACGCTTACCATCAGTGAAATGGAAGAGCTAAAGTTTATTTTATTTATTGTGCTATATTTAAAAATATTTATTCCATGAAAATAAAAAGAACCGTACATTTATACAATGAATGTCCGTTTATTTTCCTACAAAATGTGTTGCATATTTGAACTATTTCATTTGCATTAGTATTAAATAAAAGTGTTTCGCGAGTACCAATAGTGGATGACCGGAAAGATAGTAATATTCGCGACAGTTGCTTGTCTGATGTTCTTGTCCAAGACGATCGCTGTGATTGGCGAGTACAAAGTAGCCTTCACGAAATGGTACACACCTTGTGAGTCAGGGTTAAACGTTTTATCTCCCCTGTTAACGGATATCGCGAATTCTTCGATTTTGAACGTATCTCGGAGCAACGAACCCACATACCGGTGACTGAAATCTCTAGAGAGTACGATTGTGTTCGTTTGTTAATTCTTATGACAGATGCGTGAAATTTTTGTTGCTACGCGGTCGATTCGTCGGAATAGCTGAAGCTGGTACGCGGTAAAAATAAATACGCTAGAGAAAAAGCGTAAAAGAAGGATTCCTGTGGAAATCGTACGATTTTTCGGTGAAATCTAGTGTGGTACATGTGCATTGTCCAATCGTTGTCGAAGGAACCGTTAGAAGTTTCCGTTGTATGCGCATTTGAACGATCTAGTATACATTTGTCATCTGCGTGCGGGAACCACTCCCGATTGGTGTTACGGTGTTTCTACGATACTCGGTAAGTTATTGTATGAACATTTTAATGATTAAAAACGTTTCATAGGTTTTAAAACGCGATTTTAAGCATCGAACCTATGGCCAGTGTTATATCTTGCGATAATAAGCATGCATTGAAATCGTGGCACGTCGAAGAAAGAACCCCGAATATGTCGACGGTCAGTGTTTCAAGCCAAAAAAGTGAATGGAATGTTATTCCTTTTAAGTCTACTTCGAGATCAGTCGTTTAAGGGATATCAGTAATCGCCACGCAATTAACTTATACTTTTGTTACATCGAGTCACTATGTTTCGTGACTTTTGAACCGATCATTTCTATATGTATCATATCTCTTTTACACTATACCATTTTGTTGATAACTTACAATTCTATTATACTTTTTTTTTTAAACTGGTGAATCATTATATTTTAGCTACTAATTAAGGAGAAAATACCAATATGGCTGTTAATGTTTATGCAACAAATGTGACAACCGAAAACCTAAGTCGACATGATATGCTGGCCTGGGTAAATGATTGTCTGCAATCATCATTCACTAAGATCGAAGAACTATGTACTGGAGCAGTTTATTGTCAGTTCATGGATATGCTTTTCCCTGGAAGTGTACCATTGAAGAGGGTTAAGTTCAAGACTAACCTCGAGCATGAATACATACAGAATTTCAAAATTTTGCAAGGTGGTTTCAAAAAGATGAATGTAGATAAGGTAAGTAACACAAACATTTGTACTGATGAATCCTAGATGAAAGATGAATAATATTTTTGAGGATTTCTTTAAATCTTAATCATTAAGATATTTTAACACTTACAAGGGGAAGGCAAGGCATTCGGGTCACCGATTTAGTTAAAATTTGGAACATTTATAGATCTCGTTCTCCTGTTCACGAATATACACCATTATAGGGACAGATACTCAATAGTTTTTAAGATATTTGCAATTGAAATTTTCTTATTCCCTGAAAATACAAGTTTGATTGCTATAAGTACCAACTGTCATTGTAGTGTATTGATAGCAAGTTAAACTTTTAATTCGGTGACACTAGGGTTCAATTCCTATACTTAACAAATTTTTTTTAATGAAATCAATCTCATTTTTTATTTTTAAATATGAAATTTTAATATAATTAAATATAATTTTGTAAATGATACATATCATTACAGAAAATATATATTGAAACCTTTACATTAGTACATACAATAATGATATTTATCACAAACGTTTTATATGAAAAGATAAAAAGAAGTGTATAATAAATAAAGGCCAATGTCGTTAACAGTCTCTGAAAATAAAATGGTATAATATAGAAACCATACATGAGGATTTCCCCCACAAAAAAAGAAAAAAAAAAGGAATCGAACCCTAGTGACCAGATTACAAGTTTAACTTGCTATCGACATGCCACATCGGCGGTTGGTATTTACGTTATATCAAACTTGCATTTTCTATTTTATGGGAATAAGAAAATTTCATTTGCAAATATCTTAAAAACTATTGAGTATCTGCCCCTATAATGGTATATATTCGTGAATAGGAGAACGAGATCTATAAATGTTCCAAATTTTAACTAAATCGCTGACCCAAAGGTCTTGCCTTCCCCTTGTTAGTATTTTGTGTGACAATAATTTTAATCAGGAAATGTGGGATTGACAATAATACTATCAAAATTAAAAGTGTTACTTATATTTATAAAATCTGATTTGTTAGAGCAGTTAGAAAATATAATAGTTTAAAGTAGGTATTAATGACATGAGAGACTAGTGCCAAGGTAAGCTAAAGCAATGAAACAAGATACTGTGTCAAGACATGGAATCATGTTGCTTCACAGCAAAGTGTGTTGTATAATGTGCAGTATGCACAAAATCATAATCCTATTGTTATGAAAATGGTTCAGGTCATACCAGTGGACAAGTTAGTAAAAGGCCGCTTTCAAGACAATTTTGAATTTCTACAATGGTTCAAGAAGTTCTTTGATGCAAATTATGATGGCCGTGAATACGATGCTTATGAAGCTCGTGGTTTAGTACCACTGGGTTCTGGTGTTGATGGAACCCATAATTTGTCAAATCCTCAGTTGGTACCTTTACCACCTCAAACAAAGCCAACACAAATGCAGCAAAAGCATTTGCAACAACGTAACATTGTCCCTCGCCAACAGCAGGGTACAGCAATATGGTGTTAATCTAATAGTGTTGCTTTTTGCATGTCATATATTTCTACTTATACAATAAGAAATATTTTTTTACTATTTGCCATGTAAAAATTTATTATGATTATGCATAATTGCACTTATCAAGCATTCTGTATGTATATCTAGAGTAAAGTAGAAAGCACCATTTGCTTTTGCAATTTTAATCACATAAAAGTGTACAGTTACACAAATTGATATTAGTTTACAGCACAATGTCTCTTTATGTATCATTTATCTATTTTAGATGTACGTAGGTATTAACTTTTTATTTTCCCATTATGTTTGATTTTGCAATAGTAAATGTTGCACATGCTTGAAAGATAAGTAGTTCATTGTTCATGTTAATCAGCATATGAATAAAATTTCTAAGACACTTATTTACTATAGTGGTAGAATGGTATCATGACTGTTATTTTTAACAGTCTATAAATACATTCAAGTGGGGGGTAACAGATTGTCTCAGAGGAATAGAACAGACTGGATTTTCTTTAATCTCCATACTGTATATAGGAGATAGAAGTTTTATTAATGGATGATATAATATGCATTATACAATTTTATTACAATATATTAAATATACCATAATTTAAAATTCAATATATGCGTAATTCAGTGCTATACATTTTTGTTAATAAATATACATAATGAAGCCATTACAAAAATCCTTAAGGTTATTTTCTTTTCTTTTTATCTGTTTCATTATCGTTTTTTTTTCTCTTTTAAAGTTTTCATTAAAAATTATTGATACTTATTGTCAACAGATTTTATTAAATCAATTCTAAGTTTATTCTTGTTATGTTAATTTTTCAGTTATTTTGTTATTTTGCTCCACATGCTTTTTGCAATCATTTTCAGATTGTTCCAATTGATAGGCTGGTGAAAGGCAGGTTCCAAGACAACTTTGAGTTTTTGCAGTGGTTCAAGAAATTCTTTGATGCAAATTACTCCAGAATGGAGCCATATGATGCACTTGCTATGCGAGGAGGAGAGGCCATGGGTAGTGGTGGAAATAATGCACCGCATGGCACTAATGCAAAACGCACCACACCACGTGATGTAAATCCGATTAAACCAGCCGCTCGCATTGGTACATTATTTCACAACTTTTTTTTCTTTTATATAATTTGAAATTACACCGCTAAACGTAATGCGAAAAATGATTGAAAAAGTAACTTTTTTTTTTAAAGAATAACGAATCACGAAATTAACATTGACTCCCTTCTAATTTAGAATCAACATGGTCTGGTTTTGCTTATTACAAAGTAACATTTGTTAAAATACAAACAAAATTACTTGATTACCAAATATTTATTTATTTTATTGTATATGAATTTTCTTGATGTAAATTGTATATACTGAAAAAAAAAAAACAATGGGCATGCGTGTCCAAATAATTTAAGAAGAAAATTTTGCTTCAGGTGAGGGATCTTTGCCTCCTGTACCTGCAGCTAACGCCAAGTCTATAAACAAATTTAGTAATTATTTTTTTTTTCAATATTTTTATGCTCGTTTCCTTTATTTCTTTCTGTTTTCTTATTAAAGGGTTTAAGGGAGAGTACCCATCCGAAGTATTTGTTAGGATCATTAAAATAACAAAAAAACTAACTTGTTGAAATAATTTATAATTTTGATTGTCCATCCTTCATTTAATTACTCATAAAATGTTATGTAGATTTTGTTTTATTTATTTGCTAATTACAAGTGCTGGGTATAACTGCCTTAGTGCATGCTCCTTAATTTTCCCTATTGTACAGTTCACTATATAAATTATTTACATATTTCAAATTCATTTATTTTACACTGCTTGTTAAAAAACCTTTGCACAGTACTTTTTTTTATGTTAAAGTAGATTTGTTGTTAAATAGTTATAATCCTCTTGTAAGTTTTACTGTCTATGTAAATATGGCAAATCTCATACTGCATCTGTAGACATAATCTTAGGTAAAACAGGAAAGATTAAAAAATGACATATCAAAATTTCAAATCTAGTTAACAAAGCTCCTCCAGCCCATCGTCCGCCAGCGAAAACAGGAGGAGTTGGAAACCGCGATTCTGGAAAAGTTGAAGAACTTAATGCACAAGTATGAAAAAAACTAAGAACATTGTTTATGATAATAATTCAGTATCTACATGGTGTGCAATAATTTATCGCAGGTGATGGAATTAAAAGTATCACTAGAGGGATTGGAGAAGGAAAGAGATTTTTACTTTGGAAAGTTACGTGATATTGAAGTGATGTGCCAAGACTGCGATAATGGCGACCCTCCACCAATAGTACAGAAAATCTTAGAAGTCCTTTATGCAACAGAGGTATCCACAAATATTATATTTAACACTTTGAGCGCTATGCGAGAAGATTGTTCGTAGCCATGAAAAAATTACTAATCTTTACACGCACAAATCGAGCAATAAACATCATCCGTGTACTCGGAAGATATTTGCTAGTGGTTTTTCTCAAAAATCAATCTTCAGATGAAAGAAAATTATTTCAAAATTTCGGCTTATTTTTACTCGGAAAGTCATGTTCATCTTGGCACTTGAAGAGTTACGGTTGGCAATAGATTTGATTCTATATTACACTCGTTGGTTCCTTTGATTATTTAGGAAGGATTTGCACCACCCGAAGACCTGGAAGGAGACGGTCTTGCGCCCGACGACGAAGAAGAATATTAACTTCACACTTTTGTACAATCATTTTAAAAGTATGTCAGCAAATTGTCCAAGTGCGTTTCCGTTTATTCTGTTTGTGAGCCAGTATCAGTACCCTTCGCATAATTAATAAGCTACTTTGTATAGCTATTTAAGCATTTCGCGCCTTCATTTCGTTACAAAGTTCACCGAGAGTTCATTAAAAGATTCGCACGTCTAATTAGGATAGAAAAGTACGTTGAATAATGCACTTGAATAACTTGTAACTTTACGACAAGTAATTATTAAGAATGAAAAGCAGAATTAGCAGTTTACAATATTGTCATAGTTCTTTATCGTAATTGAGATAACGGTAGAGCTTTGAACATCGACAAGTTTCAAAAGTACGACGAGAGAAAAGTAAAAAAAAAAGAGGAAAAATGTTTTAGCCGCGGTTACTCGACACGAGTTATCTGCGTCCACTTTGTTATACAGTGATTTTCTTATGTTAACTATGTTCATTAACGTGTGAGTGTTTCTGTTTGTAAATGCACTACGTTTTTACCGATAAATAGATGAAATCTTTATTGGTTTCATACCTTGTTGTAGTTCTCCGAAATTTTAGACTGTATTCACGCATAATCTATAGTAGAGCTGTTTTCAAACCCGTTCCAGCCGTTTACCTTGTGCAATTGCGACGCAAAGCAAACGATACAATTGATTGTGTGTTAACATTGAAAATATTGATTTTCACCCGAGCATAAATGTGAAATGATACGATGTAGATCGAAGCTGATCCTTGTAACGCATAAAATTGAATTTCACGTTTTATACATACTTCCCTTTTTTCTTTTTTTTTTTTTTTTTTTTTTATACATATACACGTAATTTCTGTCACAATGGAAGAGCACGTGTTACGCTTCCATCGTATAATCGTATAACTCGTAGACACGATTGCGGTTTAAAGTATAAAAGAAAAAAAGGAAAAAATATCGAGCGACAATGTTGTGGTCTTTGGATGCTTAAAGTAAGCACATGTTTCTCGAGAAATAGTATAATACAAATAAATACGACGTTGATATTCACTTCTGTTTTTTTCCGTAATTGAATTTTGGAGATGCGAAAGGTGGTTCGATTTGGAGATTGGATATTTTGATTGAACGCACCCGGTTCATTATCAGATTTATAGGTTTCGCAGCGTAAATAGTAGGACACGATCATCTTCGCATCTTCACAATCCGTCTTTCAGAACGAGAATGGCCTTAAAAAGCAGCGATAAACTTGAGATTACAGAGGAAATCCTCGAATTATTAGAGAGCAAACGCAAAGTGTATCTCCGAGCACTACGACAATTGATCGATAAAACTTACGTTACAAGCGCAAGGGAGCGCTTCGCTTTTGAGAGAATAAAAGTAAAAGAAAAAGAAAAAAAAGAATAAAACATTTGTAAAATTGTGTGGTCGAAAGTGAGTGAAAGAGACAACGAGCGAATCGAGGACGTAAGCGAAACTGTATGCGCATAATTTGCATACGTGTGTAGTATAGCTGAATATGTGTGTTATTTGAAGTTATCAGATTCAATCATCAGTTGCAAGAACTACAAATTGTTCGTTCGATTTTTAGGTTGTGTAAGAATTAACTCGGATTTACATGTTAAGGTAATGCGTCGATTATTGTTACGATTAGGATATAATGTTCGCATTGATTACGTGTAACAACTTATTAAAATATGGAAGAGAGGAAGCGAGAGAGATATGACGCGTTTTAATTTGCGCTACGTTCATTGCTCTATTTGTGCGTATACAGCGATCCATCGCACGAATGTGTTTCAAAATTGAAATTTTAATGGTGAGGTAATAAACGTTTAATAGGATTCAACATTGCATGTTTCCTTTTTTTTTTTTTTTAATTTCTCGGCATGCGAATTATGATTTAAGAAGAAATTACAAAATCTTCATGTAATATTTTATACAAGAACAGAAGATACTCAAAAATATTTTTTAATTTTTTAATCAATTTTTTCAATTACTTATAAAGTCGTAATGTGTGCCATGTAAGATTTTCCAAAAATATATTTAATATCACATATTGAAAATACAGCTTAGTCAATTTGTGATGATTAAAAATTACTCATTGTTACATTATGGTTGTAAAACGTAGATCTAAGTGTTTTTTATTTATTCCAGTTCGTATTATTTTAGTTTATATTTCGATTAAACATTTGTTCAATTTTTTGTATACTTCTTATCAGGCTGACTTTAATGTCTGTACCATTAAAATTTGAAACTATCAGGAAATGGAGGTATTTTATAAGATAGATAATGAGCCACACGTAAAAAAAAAAGAATACAAACATGATACAAAACATCAAAAAAACACTTTCAGATAACTTTTTATTGTTATCTATGGAAGCTGGTGTGTAACATATATGTACAAACTCTAGAATGCCATATAATAAATATAAATTGCAATTTTGCTATCAAATTGCAATTTCAATGACTGTTTCAATTGTGCTAACGAATAATAGAATAAAAAAGTGTTCATTACTTTTTTCTCTATGCTGTGTTCATTCTCAGTGTCTTTTGATACCAATTTTATAAAAAATTGGTGTATAAAAACTTTGTAACAGTGATCCTACCCATACAAAAACCTCCTATATCTATTCTCTAATTGTAAGAAATATACTTACTTTCTTCAACCCATCATGAAACATCAAACTACATCCAACAAATAGTTCCATCGGTATACTTATACCTAATACCCTTCAATATTTATTCCCCAAGAACCAAATTAAAATCTTTGCGATCGACCATCAAACCTCAGGCGACCTAGCCTCGGTGATGAACCTCTCTCAAGAAAAATCGTCTAATTAAACACGCATAATCTTCAGCATCCAGCATCTACTTCAAATTACGCGAATGATGTCTCCATGTCAGATAAAACCGGAGTACGACTGTTTCGTGTCCGTTTAACCACGTTGCATCATAGCATCAACAGAATATATGAACCGATCATCCACAAGTGTACGAAGCAGCGAGGAGAAACGATCCTCTGTGGTGCTGGCTGACCATGAACGTGCGTGATCACGAAGAAACCACAGAGATACGACGTCGGGCAAAGGTTCGCTGATGAGCGTTTCTCCATCGTCAGTCGTTCCCGCGAGCCGCTCTTGAAACCCCGATCGCGTGTGTGTCGCGTACGTTTACTATCGTCCTGCACAGGAGGATCGGCCTTAAAGGACCCTCGAGTGGCGCGAAAAGGGGAAAGGAAGTTTCTCGTGAAGAAGGCGGCGCTCTATTGACGCCATCTTTGACCAGGTGAGAGATCGACCATCGATCTATCAGACGAGCGTGATTTCTCGTTCATTTTGCTCGATTTTTCTCGCGGTTTCTCGCGACAGGAAGCGTGCATAGGAGAACCGGGATTATATAATGCGATTTTTACCCAGCAGATCTTGCGGTCTTCGTCGACGATACGATTCGAATGCTTGCGCCAGTCAATCGCCTTTCGACCTGCGTTTAACAAGCTTCCGTGACCGTTTGATAGAGTTTGTCGATTAGATTGGTGTAAGAAACCCTGGTGGAGAATAGAATGGAGTTCGATATCACGAGCTGATTAATTTGACGGATCGTGGTCGGGGGATAGTTTTGTGTTTCGTTCGAAAATAATCGTCAGTTGTTTCGTTTTCTTTTTTTCTTCTTTTTGTAGTTTTTGGTCGAGAACGATCTTTCCTGTTTTCCGACTTGTTTAGTTTGTTCCTTTGGTTGATATTACGTGGTTTGTTCGTGGGTGAAGGTCTGTTTTTATGGTTTAGAGAAGGTTTTTAAGTTGAAACTGGAAATAATATAGTGATTTGCATTCATTGTTTCGATTATAAGATTGTATGTTAATATTTCTTTTCACAACAGTGAATTTCACGTTTCATAGTGACTTAATATAACAATGATATATTTATATAAGCAACTTTTCTTCTTTAATAAGTGAACAACAATTTTAAATTCCTCTTACAATAAAGTTTAAAACATGTAAAATAAATGCAGAGTCAAAGTATCTTATACTTTAATATTCGCAATTGATATTTTTCGTGTAACAAGCTTGTAGCTGAACCTACTATACATTTTAAATAATATCTTATTTCTACTATCCCTTAAAAAATAATTCGACAGAATCTTTTATTCTAGTCGAATTAACCTTCTATAATGCAATGTAATCTGAAAATTATGTATCCATTTATCTATATTTTATAAGTTTCATTTTATTTGTTTATTGCCATACTACTACATTATTATTAGCCAATTTCTTGACAATAATTATTAATTCTTACTTCTCTTATCAACTTTTAAAATTATAATCAACCGTAATTTTTCTTCTCATGAACGAAGAATTAACAAAATTGAATCAATTTTTATAACTGATGAATTATTGTCCAACGAACGAAGCAAGTTAACCTTAAAAATAATAAGGGGGTGATTCAACAAGTAGATGAGTCTCGTTTCTTAAGATGAAGTGGTAGTAGATTCGAGGGGTGACTGGAGAATTTCGAATTGAAAAAGATCGTTTGATTTTGGTAACCGTTTGATTTCTTTTGCCCTCGTCGACACAAACAACAGAAAAACAAGCTTCTAAGAAGCTTCCTGGTAATTCTGGTCGTAGTTGGTCGCGAGCAGCGTTGGTCGATGTTACAGATTGTTCAATGGCTACAATTCGGTGAGTTCTCGTTTTTCATGTTAGGTTTGAAAGTATGATCTCGATCTTTTTTTAAATCATATTTAATAATATAAAAATTGAATTAAAAGAAGTTAATTTAACGTTGGAAGTGCTTATTTTTAATATACAATAAGTTTATTATTTACAAAGGTTGTAAACACATTACGTGCGAGTAAGTAAAAGTTTTGATTAATTATTTATCTGGTGTGTGTGTTACTTCCAAAAACATTCGGACACTATAATAACTAAGATTCACTCTCTAGGGATGTATCTCGGTTAATTACAAAAGTATTGGGTTGATACGTTTTTGTTATGAAACTTGTTTGTTATGAACTCATTTATTGTACTTAAAAATTTCGTATAGTATGATGTGTTTTCATGTATATAAATATTATGAATATTTTTGCTGTGTTCAATGGTTAGTTGATATCATGAATATTTTTAGAAGTAACTAAACGTATAGAAGTAATAACGATATATTTTGAGCAGTACGATGGAAAAAGAATCGGCTCGCAAAGAACTATCTTTATGTTTATGTCTAGCAACTTGTTTACATGTCCTTAATTACTTCTAATTACGCTGTTATAATTAGTCAATAATTAACAAACAGTACGCTTTATCTGTTGTATTAAATGTACTTTTTAGTAAATAGTTACAAGAAAATAATAAATAACAGAATGATATAATAGAAATAAAAATACGTAGTTTTATTTAAAACTTTTGCAAATAATACAAAATTTAGCTTTAATAGAAAATAAAGGCAAAAGTTGACAAAAACTTACACAGTAGGAATCATTTTTCTTTTGACATATATTATATATTGTAGAGGGTACATTTCTAATAAGTAACACACGCTTTGAATTTTACGGCGGTTTCTTTTGGTTCTCGAGATATGCGAATTAGTAATCTGAAATTGAACCGTAATCCTGAAGTGTACTGACCCTGAATGGAATATAGAGCAAATGTAAACACAAAAGGAATGTTTAAATTCTTTGTATTTACTTCGTAACTGTTTATTGGTCAGTATATTCTTAGAGTATTGTTCAGTTTCGTTGTTTTAAATAGAAATTGGGATTGGATTATGTTAGATT